TTACAATTTTGTAAAAAAAAAAAAAATCAATTCAGAGTAAATGAATACAAGTAAAAGTACTTTGAAAAGTTACAGTTTATTGTCAGAGAGATTCAGAATTAATCTAAGAAGAAACATACAATTTCTTGGGTAACTGACATGTATGTCTCGCTTTCACTGCTATGTACACCTGCCCTGTCAGCAGACCATCAATTATAAGGAATTCAGCAACTCTTGAGCTAACTCAGAGCTAACTCTATATTAGATGGATGGTGAGTCCCAGCCCCAGTTGGCCTATATATTCAATCTCTCTCTCCCTGTGGTATGATGACCAGCCTTTAGTATTCACTTTCTGTCAAACTGCTAGTAAATCCATACTTATAACTTGAAAAAATTCAGCATGTGTTAAAATGCAAAGGGAAAGTAGTAGTTTCAGGGGAAATTAAACCTATGAACCAAAATTTGGTCTTTTTCACAGGAGTCCTGAGGTAATTTGTTTCTTTCCTCTCCACCTCCTACCTGACCTGAGGACCTGGGGATTCCCACTGGTTCCCTATCAGAGGATCTCTCCCTAGTAAATCAACCTTCTTATTTCCCAAGGAAACACTGTCTCAGAAGTACCTTCAGTCCCAAAATATTAAAGTGTAAAAATCTAGGATTAAGAATGAAGCTTGCTTTTCACAGCCAGTGCTACAGGGTTAGAGCCATTTATCCTGACTGTGGTAACATGTTAACAAGAAGTGCAAACTTTATACACAAAGACTAGGCAGGGCTACCCTAAAAGAAAGACACCAGCCAAAGCCGTCATGTTCCTGGGTGTCAACGTTTCCTATTATTTCATTGTCTTAGTCTGAATAAAAAAAATTAAAATGAGCAAGGAGTATCCAATGCTCATACTGAATTTTGATTGCTGTTTTCCACTCCTCAGAAAAATATGTGAAACAAAATGCAGAGTCACGTAGCTCAAGCTACTATCTGTTTGTTCATAAAGGAAAACGCTTTGTATGCAGAAATTTCAAGTGAGAGGAGATCTCAGGTCTCCAAAAGCAGCTATTATCAAACAAAGCAATCAGAAAATTAATGCCCTGGAGATGGCTGTGACCACAGTCTTGGCTATCAGGGAGTGTCTTCGTCTCTCTTGGTAGGAGCTTGTTTTTGAATTGCTTATTGTACCCACAAAGTCTATCTAAATGTTCTTTGCCATAAATTCCTCCCCCTCTTTTATAGAGTATTGCTTTAACTGTCTAGGTATTCTTTCCCTCAACCCTTGCTTACCATCTACTATGAGTAAGACACTGAAAAGAACGGTATATGAGAGCATTCAAGATATTTTTGTTACATATAACTTTCCCTAAACCCTTGCTTACCATCTACTATGAGTAAGACACTGAAAAGAACGGTATATGAGAGCATTCAAGATATTTTTGTTACATATAAAGAGGAATGGGCCATTTAAAGACCTAATCAGTTTGATTCTGCCCCTCCAAACCAAGGTCTCCCTAGTAGATGACCTATCTGTGTCCCCTTGCCCCACCTGCTTTAAAATGGCTCTTCATCCCAGGGAGCTAATGGAGGAATCTTCAGTGAAATGGCTCCATCATCCCTTTCCCTCCCTGACCACAGAAGTTGGGCCATTCTGGAGGGGTGTGTGTGTGTGTGTGTGTGTGTGTGTGTGTGTGTGTGAAAGAGAGAGAGAGAGAAAGTATGTCTTCTCCTCAAACAAGGGCACGGTACATATCTGAATTCCAAATGACTGAAATTTGGTGTTTTAGGTAATCCTATCTTCTGGTAATTGAGAATTGCCACTTACATAAATTACCAGGTCACAAACAAATAGGGCAAAAGGCTTTCAAGGTGGTGACTTCCTTTGTATTAATCAGGAAAATGCACACCCAAGAGTTGAATAACAAAATCATATACTTTTTTCTTGGACAGTTGATATTTTGTTTCTGTATATCATGACTAATCATAATGGCTATAATTCATCACTTTAGAAAAGCAATCTACAGTTCTAGCTGTACAAAACTAAAATTGATTGAGACCCTTTGTCACCCTGGCAGAAGATAATAATTACATCATTATTTATTAACTATAGAGACAATAGCCAAAAGTCTTTTTAACTTCGTTTGATTTAAGATCTATTATACATTATAGTCCAGCATACACAAGCAAAGCAAAATAGAACAAAATTAGAGAAAAATCAAGTTAGTGTATTTAATCTGAGTAATCCTGCAAAGAAAGCTACTCTCATGTTTACCTACCATTGGTAGAACATCTACTCTGCACTAAGCACTGTCCTAGGTGTTCTGCATATTTGATTCATTTTATCCTCACCACATCCATGAAGGCATGTTGGTTGCATCCGTTCTAATTAGTGAATAACTACACTAACAAAGATCCTGTAGATTAGTACAGGAAACACCTTTCACAGATAATATGTTCAAACATTAGAACAACAAAACACTCTTCTTGGAAATCGTGTCTTAACTTTTACAATCAGGAGTTTTTTGAAGGATAAGCAAAACTGATGCGTATCCAGAATCTCAAAGGATGTCCCTCTTGGAGCCACATTTCTGCAATCTCTTCTTGGCCCACAGAATGTTCCCAGAAACAGGCCAGGGACAGAGAGGAATGAAGGAAATGAAGAGTCATCACCCACACTGAGTGCCCTTAAGAACGGCTCTGATGTCATTTGCCTCCACCTTCCACGAATCCTGGGATGGCCCTGCACAGACAAGTGACAGATATTGACAACTCAGTCTGTGAAGATAGTGGCGAATGTCACTGAGGGAGATCTGTGTTAAGCATTACATTAACTCAAGCTAAGGTACCCTCCTTGCAAGGACGGCCAGTGTGAGGTGACGCGAGGTTAGGACAGTCCGATCCATAGCTGGATGGAGATGAGCTCTGTTCTGAGTATGCAGAAGTTAGATTATAGATCCTCAAAGGAAGTTTTTCCACGGATAGCAAGAGTCAAGCAAGCGGTAGCTCCCACCTCTGGAATGAACCTGTGTTCCTGGTTGGATTGTGACCACTTACTAGATTCTAAAGGGTGGTCAGAAGCAGGGACCAGGACACTCCCTATTATACAGTTCTGAAGGAGCTGAAAACATGGGCAAGAGTTAGGAAGACACTTTTTGCTGCCTCTCCCAGGGTGCCCCTGTGGTATCTACCCTTCACAAAGGAAGCAACCTTAAACTAAGTTACAAAGAGTATTTGATTCGTGTTTCCTCTCCTTTCTCCATCATCCTGATCCTTCCTTTATGACAAACACATGATTGCCTGGCCTGACCAGTCCCAGGCCAGTAGAGGAAGACATTCCCACTACCCCGGAACTGTACAATGGTGGTTGTGGCCAGCTGGTCCTATCATCATGGGGGAGAAATTAGCATGATTAGAGGCCAACTGTTGCCTTCATTCCCTCTGCTCCCTCCTCTGCCTGAGCCTAAGACCTTTACAGGTTCCCCAAATGTGAGAGACAAAGCAACTGACCACGATTCACGTTCCCATATATTTGTCTCATTACGTACCCAAATTTGTATTTGTCAATAAGAAAAGTCTCTGGCTGCTTATTTGTTTGTAATCCACCCTTTGGAATGCTCTGCTTATAAAAATATTATTAAAAATATATAATGATTTTTATGGGACATTGGAAATGTGAACACCAACTCTATATTTAATGATATTAAGGAAATATTACATTTCTATTTAGGAGTAGGAATGGTATTGTGATAGTATTAGGATTTTTAAGAGTGAATAGCTTATATATATGTATATATATATACTAAAATGTTTACAGATTGAATGATATGATGTCTGGGATTTGTTTCAAAATAACATGGGAGGGTTGCAGCAAGTAGGGATATGGGTGAAACAAGATTGGCCTTGAGTTGATCATTGTTGAAGCTGGGCAATAAGTTCATTGTGCTGGATTTTGTTTTGTTTTGTGTTGTTTGTATATGTTACAATTTTTCCATAATAAAAATTTTTTAAAAAGAATCAAAATTGGTTAAAGTTAATTTAAATTCACATTAGAAAACATGTTTTTCAAAAATACTTTAAGATATGTGCAATTTTATGATTTAATGTTAAATGGAATAAGAAGATATAAAACTGCACATAAAATATTGCATGCACATATATATATATATATGCATGGACATGGAAGAATAAAACTACACGAAAAGTAAATTATGGTTGCCCCTGACTGGCAAGAATACATGTTATTATTCTTTACTTGTTGTCACTTTTTTGCATTTTCCAAATTTTCTAGAAAGAAAATATATTTTGTTTTTGATTTTATGAAGTTATTTGTATAAACCATGCTCATGATACATAAGGTGAAAAAAAGTGTCATAGAACTGTATATGAAATAGGATCTGAATTTGTTTTTAAATGTGCGCGTGTGGTGTGTGTGTGTGTGTGTACCTAAAATAAACATCATCAAATTGTCAATGATGATTATCTCTGGGTGGTGGCATCATTTGGTCATTTTTATGTTTCTTCTTCAGTTAATAAGTATAATGTTATAATCAGAAAAATATAGCATGAAAAAAATTAAACTTAGATTTATTGTATTTCTTTATAAGTAAAGGATTGTCTATATAGGGCAATGTAAATATAAGGAACTATGTAATATATATTTATAAAACAGATAAGTAAGTCCAGGGGAATTTTAATTCTCTTTGAAAGCATATGTTAAGGGTTTTTTTAGATTTTTTTTTTTTAATGTGGACCATTTTTAAAGTCTTCATTGAATTTGTTACAATACTGCTTCTGTTTTATGTTTTGGTTTTTTGGCCACGAGGCATGTGGGATGTGAGCTCCCCGACCAGGGATCAAACCTGCACCCCTTGCATTGGAAGGCAAAGTCTTAACCACTGGACTGCCAGGGAAGTCCCTGTGTTAAGTTTTGAACAATGCTAAAATAAAATCCTGTGAACAGCCATTATGTGGTGATGCTCCTGCCTTCATATACTCAATTCCTTAATAATCATGTTTCATTTCCTGTCCAACTCCAGGTATATCTATGCCAATACCAGTCTTTGGGCTCCAGGATGATTCGAAGGTCTTTAAGGAAGGAAGTTGCTTACTCGCTGATGATAACTTTGTCCTGATTGGCTCTTTCGTGTCCTTTTTCATTCCCTTAACCATCATGGTGATCACCTACTTTCTAACCATCAAGTCGCTCCAGAAAGAAGCTACTCTGTGTGTGAGTGATCTTGGAACACGGGCCAAATTAGCTTCTTTCAGCTTCCTGCCTCAGAGCTCCCTGTCTTCAGAAAAGCTCTTCCAGCGGTCCATCCACAGGGAGCCAGGCTCCTACGGCAGGAGGACTATGCAGTCCATCAGCAACGAACAGAAGGCTTGCAAGGTGCTGGGCATCGTCTTCTTTCTGTTTGTGGTGATGTGGTGCCCCTTCTTCATCACCAACATAATGGCCGTCATCTGCAAAGAGTCCTGCAACGAGGATGTCATCGGAGCCCTGCTCAATGTGTTCGTTTGGATCGGTTACCTCTCCTCAGCGGTCAACCCTCTAGTGTACACACTGTTCAATAAGACCTACAGGTCGGCCTTTTCCAGGTATATTCAGTGTCAGTACAAGGAAAATAAAAAACCACTGCAGTTAATTTTAGTGAACACTATCCCAGCCTTGGCCTACAAGTCTAGTCAACTCCAGATGGGACAAAGAAAGAATTCAAAGGAAGGTGCCAAGACGACAGATAACGACTGCTCTATGGTTGCTCTAGGAAAACAACATTCAGAAGATGCTCCTACAGATAATACCAACACAGTGAATGAAAAGGTTAGCTGTGTGTGATGGACTGGTTGCCATGGCAACTGTGGAGGGCACACTGAGCAATCTCCCCCCTATCTGGGAGGAAAAAGAAACAAGAAAAGAAAATAGGGACACTGGAAAAGATTAGGCCAGTCTAATGGAATCAACAATAATATCTATATGTCTCATTTTATTATGTCAGTGATAAGCAGGGTTCAATGCCACAAAACGTGCACTTCAAAAATATTCTGACAGCATTTCAGCTGTGAGCTTTATGATATTATTTTTAACATTGTAAATTATATGTCTTTAAAATAATTAGCTTTTATTGTATAATTACAATGAGGCCATAAATAAATCTAAATTTTCTTCTATTTGCAAGTGAAAGCCTTGCCACTATGTTGTTAATTGATGGCATGAGTTGGTTACCTGTCGCTGTAAACAAAAATAGCTCTAAATAGTGAAACATTGGATGAATATAGTGGCCTCTTACCTAAGGAAAAAATTCTCTTTAAAACTTACCATGATACACGTTTTGGATGACAATAACAAAAAGACACTAAAGACAGTGTTATGCAATCTGTATTGCTAAGATACTTAAAAGAAATACTTGACAACTTTTTCAATCCTGCTTTTTCATAGAGGCCATTTTGCAAATATTCACAAAGTTGCTGGCATTTGCTGCACTTCAAATTAATTCTTCTCAGAAGTGAACAAGATTTTAAGTGTCATTTAATAACTAGTGCTGCTTTCTCTTCTACTACTTGTGCTTTATTCTGAATTTCCAGTGTGGTCTTGTTTAAGTGTTTGCTCTATTAGGTAAACTATCAAAAGGATAATCAAACATTACCAGATACACTTCTAGAAATTGCTTCTCCTAAGAGCACCACAGAAGCGTTTGGTAACTTGCTCTTTAATGACTGCATCATGCCTGCGCTCCTCTGAGCAGTAAGCGGTATTGATGTAACTGTGTCAGGATTGAGGAATAAAGTCAGGTTTTTGGCTACTGACAGCAGTAGAGTCTTAGGACATCTCTGTAAAACGCAGGTGACCCACCTGTTGGCACCCATCAGATAAATCGATGCTTTCAGATCCCATCTATATCATTTACTAAAACTGTTCAGCTTTGGATTCACAATCATTGATTGAGTGTACACCATCTGTGAAGGAATTTCCCAGGCACTATGGATATAAAAATAATTAAAACAAGATCTTTGCCTTTAAAGAAAAGGACCTAATTTGAATGGCACTTATCAAAACAGCAAAATTAACAGACATTTGGAGAATCAGTTCAATTTATTTCCTTCTCACCTGGCTCAGAAACAAGTTGATTTCAACTCCAAGGGTAGTTTTCTCAGTAAGTTTCCTGACTGGTTGCCAACGAATACCAACCAAACAAAGGAGGGGGAAAATACGACTTGAGGTCAAAATCTGCAGTTAATTTAGGAATATGAGCTTCCACCTGGACCCCAACTATGACTACCATAGTTTTGAGCAAAATATTATTCCACTTTCCTGAAAACAAACTCATTTATTACTCACTGACACTGGACATCCTACCCCCCAAAAAGCAGTAACATAATGTTTCATAGAAAAGTTTGTTAAGGAGACAGAGATGAACAGCAGTTAATTCACCTTGATATTATTACTCTAGGTTAAATTGCACATTCTTATTGGAATGGATGTTAGATATGTGATGACAATACTGAAGCATTTCTATTGAATGAGAAATAGTTTTTGCTGTATGCCATTAGAAAAAACTATATATTTGAAAACTAAAGAATGTGGGAGATTTTGTTGTGTAATTTGGAAATGCATTAGGTCTGTCCTAATTATGTCCTTTTAGGTACATTGAAAGGGTTTTTTTTCAAAGCTAGAATTTATAATAAGCTGCTAGTATCTAGGCTGCATTTGAACTAAACCATTTTCATGATTATACCATACTAACTGATACAAATGTTAAAAAGTCTCTACTCTAATGTATTTTGCCTTAGTTTATAACTCTGCCCATCTCATTATATATTAGAGAAAAGACTACACCCATATACTCAAACTTGATGAGAATGAACATAAATACTGCCTGATAAGTCTTTTGACTACATATATATTACAAATGTGTTTTTTCTCTCCATAATTATCTATTCAAGTGTATATAGACAAACATGTATCTGTATTCTTGTACAGACATGTTCCCATGCACTTTATTCAGTATTTATATATTTATATGGAGGAAAAGCAAGTCATTAATGAAAACACAGTATATACACGTGTGCATGTTTGTATCATGTCAATTTAAATGTGAATTTCATGTTCTAATGTTTCTATGACCTTCCATTGCTGTCAAAGCAGATTGTAACAGAAATGTCAGCTCTTTAAATAAACTGGATGTTGACCTAATTTTGTGGGAAGACTTTTAACACAATTCTATGAGGGTGGTGAAAACAATGCTCCTTTTACATAGTTGATTGATCCTAAATAAAATGCTACCTTTGGGCCCTTTGTTTAGTCTGGGGACAGTTCTGATTACTAAGGCTTTTGCTTTTTCTTTTCTTTTCTTTTTTTTCTTTTCTTCTTCTGCCACGCCATGCAGATTTGCAGGATCTTAATTCACCAGTCAGGGATTGAACCTGCGCCCTGGGCCGTGAAAGTGTGGAGTCCGAATCACAGGACCACCAGGGAAGTCCCACTAAGGCTTTTCAACACACCCCTCACTCCAGTGAAACAGTCCTTGAATTATTCATGGCTCTGTGATCAAAGGACTCACTCCTAGTCAATATTGTTAAAGCGACCAACCTTATCCTACTTTAAGTTGAATGGTAGATTCTTCTAAGTTTAAAGAGTAGCATTAAGTGCCAGAATTAGGGAACACTTTCAGTTTAAAGCATACTTAATCTACTTGGGCACAGCACCATCTCATGGTCACTTTTTAAAATGCTACCGTAGCCAAATTGAACTAAGTTACTGTACTAATTTTGCACAAGGTTCTTCTTCCATTTGTGCATCAATGAAACATATTATAAAGTGTTAAATTATTCTGTGCCATACGTAACAAATACAGCGAAGATTTTTATGTCATGATTTTAATCGAGGCTATTCTAAAAGATTTCAAGAAAGAATGAATCATTGTAAATAAAGTATACTCAAAAATAAATGCAACTTTTTGAGTCTATAGCTGTGTCCGCTAAAGAAAGTTGCCCGAAACCTCCCATGTCATCAGGCTGGGAACTCCAGGTACCATCCAGGTGTTTTGAGAGTACAAAGCCTGTGCTTCTGGGGCTTGGTCATAGAGCTAGGACCCACCTGGTTGAGTTAGATTTATAGTAATGATCCCGTTTCTAGTTACCTGTAGCAGACAAATGTTCCATGTTTGATCACTATGTCTGGTTCCACCTGTGGGTACACGTGTACAGGTGTACCTGAAGACATTCACAGATACATTTATACACACACACACACACACAGACACACACACACACACACTTTTGCAGGAGCTAGCTTCAAGAATTCAAGTAAACCAAGGAGACGCTATATCATTGAATAAACAGGAAAGTTGCTCTGATTCATCATTTCACTTCTAAATGCAGGGAAAAGGAAATAGGGACAGTATGTATCTTTTCCAGGTGTTTACACCTCCATGTATTGAGTACCTATCATGTGCCAGGCGTTAAGCTGGTTGCTTTGCTTACTTTACCTGATGGAATCCTCACAAGTCTACAAGGTAGGTATTATTATTCACTCTTTTTCATAGATGGAGAGACTGAGATTCAGGGCAGTTAGTAACATGCCTGAGGTCACACAGCTGGCAAGAAAAGTGACAAGTGCAAGCCTGACTCTGAAGCATAAACTCTTTCCGCGGTACAGGAGAAAGAACACTGGGCTCAGAACCAAAAGATGCAAGTTCCCATCTTAGCTTCCCTGTACACTGGTTACATGAACTTGGCCAAGTCATTGAATAACCCTGTGCCTCAATTTCACTGTCTCTAAAATGGAACTACTAGTACCTGTCCTGGCTAACTAACAATGTTGCTTAAATGAGATCATGGCTATGCTGCTCTTGATAATCTGTAAAACACTGTATAAATGTTGTAAATGTGTTGTTATTAAAAAGAAAAAAAAGCCTCTATACATTATTAGCCATCAGAGCAAATTCTAAACAAAACTGTGGGATAAGCAACATTATTATTCAACAGCTTCTGTCCTTTCTCTGAATGCTTCTCAGTTTTTACAGCTATTTGCTTCTGCTCTGTTCTCACCATAATGTAGAGTTCCCTTCACTGGTTCTCTGCTGCTTACATCAAAACCTTTATGTGCCATTCCCTCAGGTTTCTCCTCTTTGCTAGATCACTAATAAGTAATTCAAGCTGGTGATCCATTGTCTCTCACTGAGATCCCTTTAGCTGTCCACCATGAAGATAGACCAAAAGGCAGAAACCAAAGGCAAAAATGTTAGGCACCAGAGACACAAGTGAGAAAGAAATCGGGGGGCAAGAAACATCCTCCTGGTATTTATTGCTCAAATGACCCGCAAAAAAAACAGGTGCCTTCAGACATTTCATAATTTATATAAAGTTTTATAACTTAACATTGAATTTTAATCCACAATAATAACGATGATTTTGAAATATTTGTGACTTTAAAGATTTCATTCTAAACTGAGGACGATAATAATATTACTAAGCTTTCTTTCAATGGATAGTTGCCCCGGTAAATATGCAGTAAGACACAACTTCTTTGTTAATTTTTGATTATCTTTGCAGGCAGTTTGCAAAAACAAATAGCTTCCTTATTTCCCCTGAATAGTATTCATGTCAATCTTAGCTCTGTTCTTCCTTTTTGATATTTAACACCAGTATGTCCACCTGAGCCAACACATTATGGGAAGTTTTCACATCTAGTTGGAGCCTCAGGATTTGATGCGATCCCACTGGAGCGGAAGACTGAGGCAGGAAACCTAGGTCTGCTGTTACTGTCTGACACTGGACAAGTCAAAACCTGTTTTCCCTCAAGAATATTGTGAAGGACTTAGAGTCAATGATCGTTTCAGGGTCTAAGTCTATGCTTCTTTGAGTGCTAGGGAGTCCAGTCAAGACAGCTTTGATGAACCTTGCACATGAAGACAGCTTCATGTGCAAGGAATATTCTGGAACCCACAATTCTCACGTTTTCTTAAATTCTTTAGATGAATTTCAAATAAATGACAGCTTTAATTTTATATGGGAATCTTATCAGAAAAATCAAGTTGTTAGTGATTTAAGGAGTTTCTAAGATACCAGACCGAGAGTCAGATATTAACAGGTAGGATTCCAGCAGTGGCGTTTTTCTCAAAGTCAGCCTTCCTTTTGTAATTTCTAGCAGCTCCAAGATAATCGGGTTACTCTTTAACAGCCTCTAGGCTTGCTGTAGA